CCTAGTGGTACAACCCTTCATATCTGGACATTCCCAATGAAATGAGCATTTTAGAACAGAGTTTAATGACCCTGTTGAAATGGCCCTACAGTTATACAAACAAAACAAAATGATAAAAGAAACACGGAAATGTGATCCATCTCGACCTTTTCAAGTTACAGGCTCAAAATGAGAACCAATAAATCATATGCTGAAACTAGCTCAAAAACTCATCAAAAACCCATACTAATATTGATTTAGAGTAGATTATTTCCTATTGTGTTAAGCTAGAAATAGAAATCATCACATAACCATTGCTTAAAAGCCGTAAAACTCCCCAGGCAGGTTTACTTACACTTCTTAGGTTACATTTCCCAATGACCTTGTCCCACTTCTGCATTCACAAGATGGGTAAATATTAGATCTAGTACAATCTCCCAGCGTGTGATGCTATTTATATTCATGCAGATCCTTGGCCAGCCATGTGCAAGTTAGGAAAATGTCTCAAAATTGCTTAATATACATCTAATTTGGAAAAAGTAATCTATTAAAAATATAAAGTTAATTATTGCAAAAAAAATCCAGGAATATGAAAAGTCAATAATGTAATATGCATCAAACTGCAAAACATAAGTCCTTATGAAATTTCTGAAAATTTCTCCTCTACCATGTGTTCCCTCTGTGATCTCTATCACACAAGTAAATAGAAAGGAGCTGTAAAGACAATCATATAACCTTTTAGAGAAAATTAGGCTACTTTACTTTCTAATAGTTGCATTCTCCTGCCCCCAACATCCACACCCAACCCCATAGGAATTACAAATAACAAGGGGGCTGCCTCAAGTGGCAGCCAAACACCCACTCCAAATCTTTTCTTCTCACCTCTCCCCCAAATCATTCTACAGGTTTGACATTGAGTTCACACCATTCCAAAGATTAGCTGTCTGTAATACTCTACCACCCTCTTCTTCCATTCAAGACAGCACATCATGAAGTAAAAAGTACAAGTGATAACGTAAGAGTAACTGTGCATCCATGCACTCCAGTTTATACAAACATGCCAATGACGCCAACTGCCAATACTGTAACTCTTCATGGTCCCAAATATATTTCTATTCGTGCAGCTCTGTGTGGCTGAGAAGCAGGGCCTGGCAGAGAACCTGGGGGATAGGAGTGGGGAGGGAGTCTGAGATGAAATATCCATCCAGGAACCTGAGTAGCTACTCTTTGCACATAAGAGATTTGGTCACAGTCACCTACCCATTGTCTCCAAGTTTCCAACAGTCGTGTGCTTCCTATAACACAGGGAGAATGCTCAACATCCTCCCTTTGATCTGCAGTTGGGTTCAGCTCCCTTGGACAGAACCACTAGCACTTCCAAATATACTGCAAAATAATTCATGAGTGGGAGCCCTCTTCAACAATGCACATAAGGGTGAAAGGTTTGCATTAGTGAGCATTAAATTCACAGAACCATGAATTTCATATACAAGAGCACTTTGAGCTTCCTGACCTCCACCCTATGATGGATCTGCTTCCCATTTGTATTTACATAGTATAGTTCAAATGGTTTTAGATCACCCAAATTTAGGTTAGTGAAATTCTAATTATCCAGATACCCTCTGGTAGAACCACATTTGTAGATGTAGTCCGTGGTTGTTGTGCATAAGAAACCACAATCAAATGTTCCGTATCTCCTTTACATTCTTTTCTTCCATACAGAAAAAGTTTCCATGATTTTTTCCTCTAAAGGGAAATTATAGTCAGTTATGGTAAATGGCAGAAACTCTAAACAGCACAAAAAAACACTTCTGGGAAAAAGAAATAAATTCCTAATTAAGAATAAAAATCCCAATTAAACTAAATCACATTCTTAATCATTTTATCAGAGTTAGTCTTTTTTTTTTTTCATCTAACACATATGATGATAAGATTATACTCACAGCTCAGTGATCCTCTAAGGAGTTAGTGAACATAAAGTCTTAGCTGTTGGCATAAACTATACCAAAGCCTTAAAGCCCAGCTCTCTCATTTACTAGCTGTGTGCACTTGGGCAAGCTGCTTATTCTTCTTACATTTATTTTTCATCTGTAAAATGAGAAAAAGTCTAGCACCTACCTCAGGTGACTGACACAAACACTAAATAAGATAATGTACACAAAGTTCTAAGAACAATGCCTGGCACATAGTAAACCCCAACAGATGTCTATCGGTAGCAGTAGCAGTAATAATAGAAACAGCAGCAACAGCAGGAATCTGGATTGTTCCCCTAACTTTATTTCATCTAACTCCACTTTTTGACAAACATAAAAACCCCACTGGTAGAAGTTTCTAGTGTTCCTTCATATCTGACTCTCCTTCCTGGAAAGAGGAGAGGACTATACCTCCTGACCCCTTGCAATCATGTCACTTCCAGTCCAAGGAATTGTGAAGCCAATGCGCCATCTCCAGGCACTCCCTTCCTCTGGTGTAGTAACTCTTGAAGCCATGTGCCAAGGTGCAGAAAGCAGGGATCCTGAGTCACTGCCTGGAGGAGGGCTGCCCTGGAGACTCACTTGACCTACTTCACACTTCAGGTGAATAAGGAAGGAATCTTGATGTGTTAAGCCACTCAGATTTGAGGTTTGTTGATTAACACCCTATCCTGACCAATAGGTACTCCAATACCTCTAAAAGGGATCCTGACATAATTCCCAGAGGAGAAAGAGAGGTGCTTCAATTGTTAAAAAATAACTTGCTTTTTGTCAATATTTAGATTCTTTACTTTGTAATACTACCTCATATTGCAAGCAAATTGACTTTTCAAACTCTCCATGCTTCTTCCTCCTTTTATATTTTTAACCTAAAAAAGAAAATAATTACATTTTACTTCTATTTAATAACACAGGTTAATACTGGGGCTCTTACTGGATCATATGTCACATGGTCATATGGCACCCATAGTACCAAACATAGCCTGTGATCATAGTAGTTTCCAGAACTAGGAGGGGGTCCTGGGAGCACCCTCAAGTGTTCAATTGTTTCTGGCTTAAGGCAACATGGGACAGTTAAGTAGAACTATGGATATTTTCTACTTTAAACTAAAACTAACCCTTATGAAATAGAAAAGGGGTTTAAAATGTTTTCACAAACCAAAAAGGTTTTGTGCATCATTAAAATGTACCTCAATATATTATTTATTTTATGTTGTCACTTCCATATTTACATCTGTATGAATGTCAGAATAGACACATAATATATTGGCATAATAGCACATCATAAATATACATGTATAAGTTGGGGTCTCTGCTCAAAAAAATTTAATGATAGGAGCATAGGATAAAAGTAACTTTGAAACTGACAGTTTAAAGAATGGCCTTCACACTTTTTGTCGCTATTTGCATCATTCCTAAACTGCTGTAACCATTTTCCAAAGCAACTAAAAAAGAAGAAAACCAATATAGAACTAGGGAAATTCACATAGCAGTAACAGGTTCATAAGGACATCATGAACCAGCAAAGTCAGAAGAAAAAAAAAAAAAAAGCAGAAATGATAGTGAGGAGCATAGATTTGATTTAGGGTTGAAGAACAAAACTTTCTGTTCCAACTAAAAATCACATTTCCACATCTGAAAACCAGCAAAGGCTCTGTCAGATAGTTAAAAGGATAAGGTGATTGCTTTCTACACATAGAAGCAGGATGAAGAGAAGATTCTCATACAGATCAGAAATGCTTCTAAAGATACTTGGACTCCAAAGTGTGGTATCCAGGGAAACAGGAGGGCCAGCAGATAACCCCAAGAAAGGCAGAGAGCTTTGTTAGGCCAACATCCAAACCAATTATTGAAGAATCACTAGTTCAGCCAAGTTAGAATTATCTCAAATTTCTACAGAAAGTTAAATGATATCTGGGAATTTTTCAGCCAAATGGCACAGAGCTCTCTATTCCCCATCTCATAGCACTTACCTCACTATCAGTAAGAGGTGAACCTGGGATTTAAACCCAGGCATATCAGACTCCAAAACCCTTATGAAAACGGCAGCAGATAAATGAACCTCACAGAATAGGTAGGATTTGGAAGTGGAGACTGGCTGGCACTGAAAGGGGAGAGGTGGGGAGAGGAGGCCCTGAGAAGGCCATTAGTGAAAGGGAACAGAAAAAGCTAAGGAATAGAGGTGGAAAACCCTGAGCGTGTGCAGGAATTACCAAGTATAGTGCAGGTAGCATAGGAAATGTGCAGGGAGGAGGTATGAGATAAGGCTGGGAAGGCTGGCTCTGGCCTTTCAGCTGATGATGCTGTCGGCTCAGCCAAAGAGGCAGACTTCACTCTGAAGGCAGTAAGCAATAATTGAGAGCTTTAAAGCAGAGAAATGGCATATAATGCAAGTAGGCCCTGGGAAAACTAATCTTGCTATGACATGGAAGATAGATTAAAGAAGAGTAAGAAGGTGCCTTGCACATAATACATGTGCATTTAATATGAATGGATAAAGGAAAGACCAGGTTAAAACTTATTGTGTCTCTCCAAGATGATACCAAACCCATTCTATCCAGTGCTATTTAATGTTTGGTTTGCTATTTAGAGAATAAATTCCCCTCATTCTAGAAAGAAATAAAGCTGCTGTGGCTTCAAAAATAAGTCAATTGATCAGTCAAGTGTGGCTCTCTAAATCTTGCTGTTACAGTGTCTACTCTGGCAAAAATTAACATTTTCTTCTTCTATGCAGAGGGAAGTACATCTGAACTGCTGTTGTTACTGCTGAAAAAGAAAAAAAAATTAACCAAGTACAAAAGTTAGGCAATGAAGAATAGTTCCTCCCCTTCAGCAACAGGGTGAAAAAGTTATTGGAAAATAAGATAATAAGCCATAATTTCATATTTCTTATGCCCTTTTGTGGTCTCCAAGTCAAACACGTACTAAGCCATAGCTTTCTTGATGATGCCAAACTTCCTTCTGCACAGGTCATGGTGCCATCTGCAAAGCATCAATTACTCAGTGAGAAGCCAAGGCTGAAAAACCCTGAGATGAGTCATAACCTACCTGATTTTCTTCATGGGAAACCCTCATCTGCTCCTTGAGGACAGACATTCGGGCTGCCTCTTCTTTCCTCAAGACTCTCTCCTTCTTGAGCTCAGGGCTCCAGAAGGTCTTGATACTGTTCATGGAAGATCCCAACTTGCTGTCCTTGATGTCTAGCTCTTTCCGGAGGAGGTCATTCTCTCTCTGAAGTTCCTTGAGCTGGGCTTGAAGGTCTAACATTGTGCTATCCCTTACCTGCCTCAACATGGAGGGGACCTGGTGGTGGTGATGATGAGACGAGCTAGTCAGACCACCATGTTGATCCGTGTATGAAAGAACATCTGTGTGGGAAAGTCCAGCAGAAGCAATATTGGGACTACTCCCCATGGCTGTGACTCGGCCTCCATATACAGCTCTATTTGTGGCCCTTCCCAGAGTCATGGTGCCCTTTGGGTAAGTTGTCGAAGCCACCCCCTCATGATCACTCAGATACATGGGTCCAGACGTAGCATAAGCTGCATTAAGGGACTGGATATTCTCCATGGACAGTGTCTTGCCTGTTCCTCCACCTCCCCCACTGCTTGTTCTTCTGTGGCCCAAACGAGGAGACCTTGGCAAACGAGGAGATCTGGAAGGGCTACCTTCCAGATTGGTGATTGTTCTTGCACTTCCATACATTTTTCTTCTATTATGAGGTGCTACTGAAGAGAAGGAATGCTATACTAAGTTGGGAGGTAAGCCAGTATTTCCACTATTGGCCTGAATTTTCACTGCATATTTTTCACCGTCTGTACCAGAAAATGACTCCAAATAGAGACCTGAAAAATGAGAAAAAAGATAATCAAAAACAAACTGTATTATATTTTTAAAAATACATTGATAGATCAATGATGATAATGATAGATACATGAACATCAGAGAGTCACACCCATATTCATTTTTTGAATGACCCCAAACTTTACTTACAACATGCAAACATTTTTTATATTTCCCCCACCCTGCCCCCAAGCAAGGTCAAAAGTCCTCACAGCAAAAAGGAAACTTGTTTTCCCTTAGGAAAATGAAGCTTTGCATTTTGGTTTGTGCTAAGTGACAGTTGGGACATCCAGAAAATTCACCATAGAATTCCTCCTCATAGAGAACTTGGCTATAAAATACTCCATCCTAGGGGCGTGACCCCCCCCATACACAAGTGGCTTGACAGTAACTCTGAGAAGCTTTTGCTTCCTAGGATATCAAATAACAGTCAATCAGGTTGTTACTTCCCCATTCTGTACCCATTCCAGACATCACTAATCCATCACTGTCCTCATTTCCACTAAGATTGGAATTCTTCTCAACATAATATTCTAGATGGTTTACCACCAATCAACTAGCATCGACTCAGGAGTTTGAACCTATTGACCATTTTGAAGCTAGAAGAAAAAGAGGTGGCTCAAAAAAACAAATAATCCAGTGAAGAAATGGGCAAAAGACATGAATACACACTTCTCCAAGGAAGACATCCAGATGGCCAACCGACACATGAAAAAATGCTCAACG